ATGTGATGTATTTACACCCTACAATTCGAACAGTATGATCACACATATACTTGTCATGGCATTTTTGATCGAAATTAATAAAGGTCAGTTAAATGAAGGTTCAAGTGGAGATTATTATTTTCAAACTTGAATTCACGAGTCGATCTAAGCTAGATCACCATTGAAAATCTGAGAGGACTGGTCGGATGTTTCACCCTATTACGGGACTCCTCAGCCGTGCGCGTCCACGATCCCTCGGTCTCGCGCGAGAACGCTTAATTTCTAGACCACTGAGCCGGCATTCAATAGTGTTAATTTCTAACTTGAACCAATCCATGATATTACGCAACCGTTCACCATTGTCTTCACAAAGTCACGATTGAACTCCACTGGTCACAGCTTTTCACTAGAACTTCAGTAAATTAATTTTGAAGTCAGTCATTAGTGAGCTTACGAGTCTAAGGTTCCCGGGTTTGAATCCCGCGAGAGGGATCGTGGATGCGCACTGTTGAGGAGTCCTATGCTAGGAAGAGACAGCCGTCCAGGGCTTCCAGGTTTTCAATGGTGGTCTGACACTCATCCATTCATGATATCAATTTAAATAATCCACTTAACTAGTCTTCTCTTTCTCATATGTCAACCAACTAGATGATAGAACAGTTTTCGTCTCTCTCTACCCAAGCAGTTAGTCTCAATACGAACTTACTCATTTCTAGCCTCAAGGTTAAACCAGTTAGCCTATCGATCAAGGACTCAATCTAGATCGATGCAAGTTCTCTTTTTTATATTATTGGGTAGACAGATCAAGGGCGTAACACCCTTTTGCACTGAATACCCTTATTAATATGCGTCCTTTTGAAAGCCTCACATATTAATGCCAGTCTTTGTTAACGTGCGTCATTTTTATCCGCGTCTTTTTTCATCCGCTCTCTTGATAGTCACTCTCCTAACTGGAAAGCTAGAATCCATTTATAACTAATAAGTATATATTAGTGTATTTCTAATATATATATAAATATTCGATTTCTAATCCATATAACTGTTATGGGTAAATCCCATAAACTGATATGTCCTCACAAACGTTCTGCTACGACTACAATGAGGAATCTAAGAGATGTATGCAGTGATTACTGGGTATCAGAAATAACTGGGTTTTGGGTGGGAAACTAGGGAAATAAAGTCAACTTGGCTGACTCCATGGAAACACACTCGTCGCTCTCAACTTATTAATAACGTGATCCGTGTTTTAAAGACATTCAATAACATAAACGCCACTTTGAATGAATACATATTTCTTGGCTTGTCTTCAAGCTTAAATGTGATCAAACAAAGCTCAAGTCGTATATCTGATTCAAACAGACGATCAAAGGTGGAAACTTATTTGCTTATTTCCAAAAATTCAAACAGAATCTCTTTATTTGCGGGCTTAGGAAAACTTTTAGCATATACAATTGCAACATAGTAACTATGCTCAGATCGATGCAATGAAAGTGATATTCATGTTATTGAGCAGCCCAAAATTTCTTGAAGCATCGACTATCTAATAACAGGTTCTAATGAAGTCTTTCTAAGGAACAAGAAATGTCCTAAAATAGAAACTTTGATACGTCTAGGACTATGGATTGTTTCTTCCATTATTTCGAGAACATGAATATATCTCATCTTTCTACACGGTAAAATTATAATTTGTCTAAGTAATACTTTGAAACTTTTTGAATGTTATCCTCTGTATATTCTGTAATTAAACGTTTACACCCATCACTTCTTGAAGAAAACAAAAGAATATATTAAACATGTCTGTATATGTTATATTAAGTAGATGACAGTTTTTTAGAAAAACGTAATTAAAAATCTGGATTTTATGTATATAAGACTTCGTATTATTTATCGTGGCTTTTGATGACAAACTTTGGAAATATCTAAATTTCCTGATAAAGCTTTAGTCAGTTCTTCCAAACTAATTTGACCATCCGAGTTGTCATCAATTTTCTTAACGAATTCCCTAACCTCCTTAGTGTTATATTTAGTAGAATTTGACCTCAGATAAGCCTTTATTTCTCTTTGTGATACAAGACCATTATGATTCTTATCAAGTTTTCCGAATAAATCACTAATGTCACCAATTCTAAAAAGAAAGATCAGAAAAAAGAATCACTTAGACTACGTAATTGGATGAAACGATCAAAAAATATCGATAACAAATTGATTTACAATTAGAATTTTTGTTCAGTAGATAATGTCTTAGTCCAGCCTTGGGAAGATAAAACTGTAAGTTGTTAGTAATGAAAATAGCAAAAGATAGTAGGAAGCACTGAAGTATGATTTTTAGAGTCCTTCTTGACAAACAACAAGCATCGGATGCGTTACAAAATCACGCTCAGACAACCTCAGTGAACTTGAAAGTAATGGTGGCTGAAAACTTACATAAAAAGGATCGAAAACAAAAATTCCAATGACCTAATTATCGAATATGATAAATACTCATCACATGCTTTTGAAAAGCATGTAGTTGAGACGGATCATATAAATAATCTTAACTCACCCTTTATATTATAGATGTGGTCTAGGTTGAAAACTCACATTCATTGAAGCCGTATGCGTGAAAAAATTCAAGTCTTTTTGTGTATCCCCCAGTAAGTTGTATATTTATTAAACCTAACCTGTTAGTATCACTTGATTTCAGAGTGGTGTGATTTGTACTGTTCTTGTTTATATTTTTTCCCTATGTTCTCATTTGCCTACTTTGACCTTTATTTTTTATAATGTCTTGAGTTAATGAGCAGTCAGAATGCACGAAATGTATTGCGCTAATTTAATCATTACATCAACCTGGGAACGCGTGAAAATAGATTTGGATACGTAACGTAAGCGTATTCAGTTCACTTATTTGTAGACACTTGTCACCTTAGCTTTTAGTACGTTGCGCACTGTGAGTGCAGACGACGCACTCAGAAACATCTAACTTAATTTCATTTGGCTTAAATAGATGTTCCTCGTTGTGAAGTGAATCAGCTTGTATTTACTCAATATCCCTCCGCACAAGATTATTACAAGTTAGCGAAAACTATACAGTCTCTCTTTAATAGACTGATCATTTTTAAATAGAAAAAGGGTAGCATAGTAAGCTGTTTATCAGGCCAAAGCAAATATGAGATAATTACTCTTCTGGGTAAGCAAGTTTGATCAAAGTAGTCTTGGATACTGTTTCAAGAGGTAAGTTGTTTTATGTACCGTCCAGAGAAACAAAACAAGACAGGTTGTTTAAGTTTTTTCAGTTCCGAAACGATTCATGGCTCAACTAACAAATAGATATTCAATGGTAAGGATAAGATAACTCATACATTTAAATTATTCCTTATGTGATTAAAACCTGTACAATTGCTAATCTAATTGACGATATCTATATTTAAATAGAATTATGTTAGCATACAATTTGTGCTCCATATTGAAAGTAAGGATTGTGACATATCTAGTGTTTCACATCAATGTTAACTTCAGAAAGTGATTTCAAATGCGTAAATAACAATCGCAGAGGATATAAAATAAAAATAAGTAAACGTTAAACATACGACATTGGACTTGAGAAAAGATTGTTCATTGCCTCGTATTAAGTTGAAAGCACCCAGTAATACTATTATTTCTAATCACTGTTAACTAACTATTTATACACCAGTTCAACCAGCTGAGTGACGAGTGGGCTTGTATAAATTGTACTCTTTATCTAATTTCTAAAAATCTCAGTACATAAATTAGTTTATTTAATGGATTTTTATTCAAAAGATAATTTAAAATCTCGATAAGAAATGAATAAAGAGAAAATGTGATTTTGCATGATGTAATCACAATACTGGTGAAACATGAGACCTTTTTTAGAACAAAAATTATAATCTGTAGGTGATTTGCATTACTAACTGACATCTGTTCGGGTTAGAGTGAACACCGCTATTCTGTCGTCTTATGAACTCCGCAGCAGTGGAATCGCAACCCAAATATGGATTAAACCCAAAGGCATTTTGTCACATGGCAAATGTTTAAACTTTAGACCAATGAGTTAGAATCCAATGGCTTGTGTTTACAACTTCAATCAATTCTCAGTACTGTACGACAATCATCCTCTCTGGTGTTAGACCATGACAAAATCCAACTACTAGTAAAACTATTCTCCATATAACATCTTAATTGTAATATAGGTGAATGCTTGCTAGTGAACCATAATATTTCTAAAACATTCAATGAGTGTCTTATTTTATCACATATATGACGCACTACTGCAGAAGTTTGATAGTATCTAATGTAATTATATAACAAACAAGATAAACTCGCTTATTTTTAATTCGATGTAAAAATCTTTGTCAGTTTCATTAATCTAATATAATCAATGGAACTCATGAATAACTTAACCATTAAATCACACTACGTCAATTTGTAAAACGACAACTCTCTTATTTCAGTTCTTAATGTGTGAATTTAATATTTCATTGTACAGTGCACTGGATAATTTAAAGCCTCATAAGTTTGATATTGTAAGCGAACCAGTTCGACGTTGCAACGATTTATTATACGCTACTTACAAAATATTAACATTTATAACTAACAGAACACAGTGATCTGAATATTACATCTGGGAAATTTATTTGCTTGAATTTGAGACAACTAGCTTTAACGCCTAAATGATACGAGAACAATCAATATTTGACAATAGTTAGATGACGTAAATACCAAATTCATTACATTTTGATATATTAATTATGCATAGTTCTTTAATGTAGTTTGAAATGTTCCAAGTGTTGTAATTAATTATTATTTTCGATATATAGTTTTAAAAATAGGTTATTCTTCATTTATACAGACGAAATATCCTTATTCAAGTTGGGTGCAAACTATATCTTTGATCTATAATACTAGTCTCCTAGATTGAACTAACAAGATAGTACATCATATGTGAGCCAAAAAATGTTTTGTTTTGTTTGAAAAGCCAAAATATTTTGACGAAACGAATTTATTATTACGTTAATACTAAAGGCATTTTCATTTAATAATTTTAGTAAATCTATAAAATTGTTGATTAAATATTTGAAATTAGACGACAACCAAATATTCATCTTCGTATTGTCCTGAAGTCTGTAGTGCAGGATCTTCTTTGTGGTGAAAATGCTTTCATAAATTCATGCAAACTTAATTGACCATCTCCACTTTCGTCAATCTTACGAATGAAGTCTTTGACTTCTTTATTTGTGACTCTCGCATCGTGTACTTTTAAATAATATCTTAGTTCTTTAGCAGTCACGTATCCGTTGTGATTCTTATCCATGTGGTCAAACATAGTGCGTATTTCTTGTTCTCTGTATATATAATAAAGAGACAAAACTGAAGTTAAATATTCTCCATTATATATTACAACATATAAAAACGTTTGTGACGAATCAAAATAATTCTGTTTAGAATAAATGGCAATATAACTAAAAGTAAACGAAATACTTTACTCTTCATAAAAGTTTACGTCTCCATATGTAAACAACATGATACATGTGGTCATTATGTCTACACAATCTCTACTAGAATAATTGACTTATTAACTGCTACTAACATATGTGTTTTAAAGTATAATGCTTGTACTTAAGCGCTTAGTTGTTGTTAAAGAGTATTTGAAATAATTTAGTTAGAATTCTTTAGGAAATTTCTACAACTATAATTGTAAATCTCTTATGACGAAATGGTTTGTGGTGTGCCGAAAGACTATTATTGGTCAGATTATATTACAAAAGTCAAACATTTGTATTCTCCCAATGTCGTTTCTCCCATTGTAGAACTGACATATATGTAAGAGGTTTATAGTGAATAGCATTTCAATGCATTGATTTTCATCTGTTTCGAGTCAGACAAACTACATTATTTATAAGAAGTGTTCTCATTCTAATTATTCAAATCGCTGTCGTTTATCCCATGAAACCCAAGTTATATCAATATATCAAAGGATTTCTTGCAAACCTATCTTTTTAGAAATTAAATTAAGACAGATATTTATCATTTTTTGATTTGCAACAAAGTATTGCTAAAGATGAAAATTTCCTATCAGAAGATTTATCTATAAATTGTTTTCTATTTTCCAGTTATAAAATAAACTGAGGGTGCAGAAACAACAGTAGCTCTTTTCATGTACAGCTAACCAGCTATAAGTTTGATATTAATTACCAATCACTGCCACTATATTCAAGATTTGTGTTCATACAATAAAATCGTGAACCTACATTTTGCTATAAGCTCATGTTATTTACTTCACAAATTACATGCATCCTTTTATTCGAAATGTACTCCTAAGATTAACTGAATTGTAGAAATGTATTTTAAACTTATCTCAGCCAATTAACCTTTTATCTAGTAAAATTCAACTAAAAATAACAAATCCATTTAATCATTTAAATTTAAAAGATTAATAAGAATGCCTTAAATGGGACAAGGGTATTTTCCATAACGATTCTCTTTTAAAATAATCTAAGAAAATAGGAACTCTGGAACGATGGACAAAACTAGTTGAAACCATATTCAAACATTATTATGTTGAAATGTTCAATATGTAAACATATAGCCAGAATAAAAAATAATAAATAGGAAATCAAAATTATGGCTTATACAAACTAAGGACTATGGTACAAAAGCATCTTTTATCACTTAATTATGTGATCCAGTTAGAAAAATGATGTTTCAGTATAACCATTCAAAAATAATATTCTGTAGTAATAGTTATAAAAAATAAGGGTGGAGAAAATAGACTGTTAATTAAGAGTCGGTTTTCCATATATTTTCCTTTTTTAGATGCCTAAATATAAAGTAAATTAGCACAATCGTTAATATCCTACATTTTAGAAAATTTATAAGAATGATATATGATGAAGCAATTTAACTCTGTAACACAATTAGATAAAAAATTAGTGATAACTCAATGGTTTAGCTATATTTTGTCACTAAATCCTCCTACCTTCTGTTAATCTCAAAAATTTAATATGCACACGGTTATTAAAGATCGCTAAGGCTTAACAACTATTCTAAGAAAGTTAAAGTTATTTTATGGATATGAAGTGAATTAAGTGAAAATCAAGTTAATTAATAGTCATAATAGAAAACAATTTTAAAAACAAAACAACTTAAGGTTGTACGATTGTACAGCTTGATAATCAATTCGTTGTAAAAAGATTCCTTCGCTGAACTTCGTGTTTTTAACTTAAGGTTAGATCATTTAAGGTTGCAGATAAACAACATTTGGTTTACATAATCGAATTAGATTACTCAAACATTCATATAAATGAGTGTAAACAACTTTGTATTACACCAACACTAACAGAACAGTTATTAATTTTTAAAAAAAAAAACATTTCAACATACGTCAGCTGACGATCCATGTTTGCACACTTTTTCTTCTTGAAAAATAAGGAGGAATTGTGTGAATTTTATACATGAAGATAGACAACTCGTATTTATAGCTCACACATACTCTAAACGTGACTATCTTTTATTGGTGTTTACATAAAGTGAAATTATATTCACGCTAATTGTTTACTATCATATGTGTTTGGTATAATGACTCATTTAAATCACTAAAGTGACGTAAATAATACTTTGCTTAAGTTTTGATGAAAGCGAAAGTAATTACAGTATTGTGGTTCTATTTCTTGTTTCATTTTTACATAATCAGTTATTCCACATCTTTTGTAACTGGATTATTGACCAACGCCTTTGTTTAAAAGTGCAGGAGCATTAGTTTCAATAGATAGATATCAGTTGTTTGGCCAAACTTATTGTTTAAGATGGGATTTCAGTAAACTTTAAATATCATGGGCTGAAACTCACATGAGATATAAACATAAGTGCTGATTTTCTATATTTAAGGAAGTAAATATTATTTTGAGTAGCTTACTGGATTAAATCATTACGGTGTTGCATCAGTTATGTAGAATATACTACTTTATGATTAATTCAAATAAACAGTTACTTATAACTTACAAATTTTATTTGGAATTAACTCCACTACTGTACATTTTTGTGAACGCTATTTTACATAAATGAAATATTTCTGTTCACTTTCTACAGCCTCTGTCCTTTTCTGTTTATTACAAGTAGATAACCTATTCAGCTAAAGAAGTATTCTCTATTACTTTTCTACAAAATAAAAGAACAGGATAGAAGTTGAGGCGATCAGTAAAAAATGTAACTGTTAATCATCAATTTGTTTCAAAAATGACTTCTAGAGGGAATTCTAATGCATTTACATTAAACAAAATGCTAGTTTACCAACACTTAATTTACTTTACTCTCGCGAGTCTATATGATTAAACTATCAAGTGACGAAAATAAAGAAGCAAGTTATCTGAAAATTACTAGCAAAAATCTACTTACAGTATGTGTCTGCATTAATGCTTACACTCAACTTTGTTGGTCGATTGCCTGCTTTTAACAAGTAATGGAAGAACTTCTAGGTACGCTAGTGATGAGGTAAATAAAAGCCCAATTTTATTTTTGTTTCGATTTGTATACGTATGTGACAGGAGCATCTTTCTACATTTTGGAAGAAATAAAAAAGCCATGACGAACAACGGAAACTATTTTTGAGAACACCGCTTCACTTAATTCAAAGTCTGTAAAAACCTAACATTTGCCCCTTCGTTTGTTCTATAAACCATAATCTTTCGTCTGATGCGTGATTCACTGCCATGATCTTTATTATTCCAAAATTACTGTTGACCAATCAGCCGGTAGAATAATCTTCGTCTCTCTACCCCCAAGGCCGTCTAGTCATAAGTTGGACTCCCACATTGATAGGTTCAAGTTTGAACTAGATAGACAGCCTGTCGTGTCAAGGCCCGGTGACAAATTCTCTCCAGTATATTAGTGGGTAGACAGATTAAGGATGTAGCAGATTACCTGTTAAACGGGGCAGCATATTTCTAAATAATTTCTAAATCTACTGAGTAGATATTTTTGTGTATCTCCGAAGATAACAATGTAAACCAAATGATTACTACAAACATCTAGCTTAGCTTATATTGCACGTTCTGATTGAAAGCAACTTGTATGTTGATCCATATTATTCAAAGATTATGCTATAAAAAGTCCTATATACTAAATTGAACGATAAATTCATCTATCTAAATAAATATTTTAAAGATCATTATTACATTTACTGAACTCTATAGTTACTCTCTTTTTTCTTACTCCGTATATATAACAGAAAGACTCATAACCAGATATTCACTCCAATTAAACATTTGTCTGCAAACATGGAAGAAAAAGCTACCTCTAAAAATCAATTACTATTATTCAGGTTTGGACACCTACAAAGTGTTTTAACCATACACACTTGTCTAACATAATATACATTATCTTAGCTCAAGCAGCTAAGATGCCAAAGGGATGCGAACCGAAAAACCTTACATACATGTCCCTATTGTGGGTGTAAAGTAACCAGAATGGTAGTTGGCAAGTAGCTGGAATATCAATGATGGAAACTGGATTTTTAACCAATAAAAGTTATTAATCATTCCAAAACTGACGAAGCGAGGTTTCTTTTAGCATTCACAAATATGTTTAATTTTTATAAGCATGAATACGAACTATACTAATATGTAGACATTTTATTACACAGAATGCTTAAACTTAACCATGTGCATCGCTTACCACGTGCTAGTCTTCACTGGGAATATTCTGTGGGATAAAGCCAGGTGATGTTTAACATATGTATCAGGAGCTATAAGTCCCGAGTAAAGTAGATGAAAGTTTCTTGCTGTTTACTTTTCATTCCTAATTTTCGCTCATATGACACTAATAATGAGAAATATTTTTCACTAGAATGAAAAACATATTCTTAGTACTGTGATGGAAACCACTATATCTTCATTTTGTTATGATATTTTATCAATATCAATAACTAAGATAATGAGAATGAGACGCGTTGTGCATGGAATTACTATGATAATTAGAAATATTCGAATCAATGTATTAACTAAGAATTTCCAAAATAGTGCTATTTAAGGTTGATAGACCCAAATGAGCATAATTGAACGTATTATATTTGGAATTCGTAATAAGCGCACAGTTAAGTACGAAGGAATCGTCAGTTAATATAAATACCACAATTTCTTTTACAACAAGCCGTCAGGCTGATTTCTTAACCCATTAACCGATAAAGATTCGTTTGGCTGTTTGAATTTTGGATATGTTGAGAAATATGGCTCTCTTCAAACAGGTATTCTAACTCTCAATCAGTATGAGATTCGCTTTTTGATATTTGGTAGTCAACGGTCATAACCTTTGTCTAGCTCCAAATGTATAATGTGCAGTTTCGTCGCCTTTGACTGTCAGTATGAAATTTTCACCACCCTTTAACTCCACAGTTTCCAATGGTTGTTAGATAATTGTTCGGCAAGGAAACCCAACTCATCAATAAGCTTATATTATGAGACAAATAAGTGGATATTTAACCGAGCTCTTAATGGTGAAAAAATGGCTTTGAGTGTGCAAATATTACTCAGCCTTAAAATAAGTTGAAGCGATAGGTGCCAATATAATTCAACATGGTTTTCGTTTGACGACTCATTATTTAAGAAATTTGTCCACAGATATGTCATTAAATTATTCATATTTTGCCCCCAAATGCCCTGATATGATTGAGGGTCGGGTGAGTCCACTCTCCCTCTCGAAATACTCTCACATGGCCACGCGTATAAAGCCACTACCAGGTAAGTTCTACTCACTAATTCGCGGCATGGGTATTGTTCACGAAATCGAGAGGACGAAAAGCGAATTCCCGGCGCCTTAACAAGGTTGGTGGACACCAAGGGTTCACCTAGAGGAGTTAAAAAAACCTGATTCCAAACCAATGGTACACATGGGCTCCAGTATCTTGAGGGAACAAATGGCGTATGAACCAATTATTAGTCACCGGATACCATGCAACAGCATCGCCTTGCGTTGCTCCACTGCCTTGTGGGTTAGAAATTTAGGTCAAAGGCTCCGGGTGTGGCCCCATAAAAAACCACTTGCTTTAGTTTGGGCACCCGGGCAGTATCACAGCTCTCATACAAATCAATGATAACTATGACTGGAAAAATTTCTCTTGCTTTAACGCTCGCTCAGAAAAATCTTATTCACAATCATATGATAACGTTCGTTTTTCATTTCTTTTATACTACGTCACTTACGTTGCTCATGTATTCCTCGTTATTCTCATTTTGCGTACTTTATTTTTTGGCTTATACAGAATCTCGCCTATGGTGGAAACCCTGTCCCATCTAAACGATTTCGAGTTACTGACTGGTCAAAAGTTGAATGCTATTACCGAATACGAATGCTGAAACAGTCTTTCTAAAACCATGTATACAATTCAAACTGGCCTCCTTCAACGCTCTCACACTAATGCAGATCGAATAACAAATAGGGTTGGCTACTTCCTTAGAAAGTCTCAACATCGATGTCTGTTGTCTATTTAAGACTGTAGTGAAGTACTATAAATTCTCTCTCCATCTGTCTCTTCGGAAAGCTTGTTTCACGTGCGTTTATCCGGAGACTCTGTGGCATCTTTGTCTAGTATTACTGAAGTTGGTGTCTCACTAAGCACTAGAGCTAAGGCATTACTGACCGACTGGATCCCAATTACCAGTCCGTTATGTGCTGTTAGATTAGAAAGTTCCATCAAATTACGAAGACGTCGGTGTGAGAAACAATGTCTTTTCGTCATCACTTATGCTCCGACAGATTGTAGCCCGGATTCTATCAAGGATGCGTTTTATCACCAGTTAACTGTTCGTTTACAGGAAGTGAGTTTGACAGATATTGTAGTACTAGCCAGAGACTTGAACGCACTGGTTGGGCGTCTAGGCACAGAAGCGAGTCGTTCAGGTGGCCGATAGGGACTTGTTGGTCGTAGGTCAGATAACGATGACTGACTACTGCAATTTTGAGCAAACTAAAACCTGTTTCTGTTATAAGTAATGAGTTTCTTCAGGCTCCTTACAACTCATTGAAGCTCGTCGGTTTACTCCGAGTGACTGCGAGTTTGACCACAAATGAAGACTTAAGTAATTAAATTGGACAGATTGTGTAAGGATCGAGAAGCCTAGTGGTCAGGGCATGTTAACGAGTTGGAAACAACAGCCGCATCCTGTGACCCCCGAAAGCTCTTTCAGCTCACGCGAGACACTGGTAGTAAGAAGTCATGTGTATTAAACAATCTATGAAGCTGACGGGATGCTGATCACTAATATCTACCGACGTTCTGGACAATGGGTAAAGTTTTTAGAGGGGCAGTTCAACTGGTCTACTGGTCCAGAAACATCGATCAAACTGCCTTGACCTCCATGGCCTGTGCAGACGAGATAGAAGTCTTTATAGATCTCCAACTCTTGAA